ACAACATATGAAACAATACAGAATGTTCTTTAAGTGTATTTGTTCCCGTGTTTCGTCGTCTACTCGAAAATTACGAGCGGCGTGAATAATTACCGGATGTATAAAGTGCGCGATAAAAATCTTGGCACCACACGGTTCTGAGCGCCTTGAATGACAACGCCCCGATTAAGTCTCTCACGTACCTATTGAGCATCCTCGGAATCCCAGGGGAACGGGAAAACTGGGACGAGCAGAAAGTGAGAAGGGAGGAATAAATAGGACCTTGGATTCCGAGGATGACCTTCAGAGAGATTATTGGATGGATGGATAAATTGTTGGAATGGATAAATAATGATGGACAGATGGGTGCCCTGATAAATGATTCTGGTGAATAATTCAGTATTCGAGAATCATCCAATCAGATCGACCTTCCACTTCCTACTCGTTCATCCCTTTCATTCACAAATGCACAAATTTTGGGATGTGATACTTCCACAATTTCATGCCGAAATGGACTTCTGGACCTTTTACGTCACTACTTGATTTTCAATGCATTGTGGGATCAGTTTCTAGAGAAGCGAAAGAAATCCGCCATACTTTGTCCCAATCATATCCTACAATGCATTGCGTATATGGTACATGACGAAAAAACTTCAGAGGTCTATAGAAGGCGATGAACAACTTGCTTCTACAAAAAAGGGACGTATAATTGCTTTGTTACCATAATTATTTCCGCATGTACGTATGTATTTTACGTACATACGCAAGACTCCAGCGTCTAATTTTTACGTGAGGAGCGCGATTTAGGGAGGTGTCCGCTATGTCTTTTATCCGGCGACAAATATTCGAYCCATCGAGATATCTATAAAGATTAGGAGATGATATATGTACSATGACCTTGTAATTTAATGTCAAGTGTGTGTCGATATAGCGATTACTTGAAAATCCAAAGATACTGTCCAGCGTTGAGAAATGAAACGCGTGCCGTGAAAATATTCGAGAAACAGTTTTCTGCAAAGTAATTGGAACGGTCTGTACGCTTTCTCTATTGCAAGGTTGCAAACACATTACTTGCTCATCTATGGCGATTTCGTGGATTTAAGTGACCAAATCGTCGAAACAACAGTGCAAACAAGGAGGGGAGGGTTGTAGTAACACAAATTTAGACCGGTGTTCACTTTTCTATAGACTTCTTAACCTTCTACTTCACTACTTGATATTCAATGCATTGTGGGATCAGTTTCAATAGAAAACAAAAGAAATCCGCCATGTTTTGTCCCAAACATACCCTACAATGCATTGCGTATACGGTACATGACGTAAAAGCTTCAGGTTTTTTGTTCCTTCCATAAACCATCCTCGGAAACCATTAGGTGGAATCTTCTCTTATCATTTCTAGGCCATAGAGGAACGAACGGCAGAAAATTACTCTAGGGTTCCCGAGGATGTCTACACATAGTTTACGAAGCTGAAAGGTACACTCCATCCTCGGGAACCCAGGGGTAATCTTCTGTCGTTCGTTCCTCGCTCCCAGAAAAAATATTTTTTTCTGGTAGTRAGGAACGAACGACAGAACATTACCCCTGGGTTCCCGAGGATTGCTACACTCTCTCTGTATGAATGGAAGCGAGAAGCTCAACTTCGATGTCCCGCCGTCTTCCCATTTCATGCTGACTGAAGCCTTTTTAGAGTTGTGACGTTATATCCACATGGGAGTATATTCTCCTGTTCTCAACGGGTATCAAAACAATTTGTCATGTATTTGACCTTCTGACCTCTATCTCATGTCGCTTTTTAAAATACATGAAATTTTTCATTTGGTATTTGTTTAAATATCGTAAAAACAWGCCTAGAAAATTTGAGGCAATTCTCGTTTTCTATTACAGATATTTTTTTTTAAATGTCTCAACTTCGATTGGTTTTAAATAGTGCATCTTTGCAATATAGGCCTCAATATAGTTTTAAACTTACCCTGCAAGCCACAGTTCCTTCTCAACAATCGAAAGAGTAAAGAGAGAGACTTTTTATTTGCGACTGACCCTGATTCATGCATGATTGATAACTAAACTGTACTATGTTTCTAAGACAGTGTACACTCATGCACTCTCATAATGTACCGAAAGCAACGGAACTAAATGCCACAGCAAAGTGCCTCTAGTTAACGCATAACACGTACACATGGCTGTTATTTTTCTCTCAGCACAACWGCTGAAAGGTAATTTGTGAATTCTTCGAAGTTCATCAAAACGTAATTGTAAACTAACTATAATCAAGTTATCATTAGCGGTCCTGGCAAAGAATTCGGTAATGGAAGTTTTTAGTGCTTTTAGGGGCTACTTATTTTAAAAGAACAGTCAAAAGCATGCAATGATAATAGACCAAATATTTCTGAAGAGGCCCTTGAAKCCAGGAAAAAGTCCTAGCAAAAATACAACTCGTTACAAAAACTTTTGTTCATGATAGAGAACTTTGTTGTTCAGGAACTAAATTAAATGCACAAGAAAGTGTTCAGTTCAATGGTCATCTTTTGTCTTTTAATGAATTGAATTGTAAAGTCTCCCATTATATTTAACTCGTTTTGATTATCAACGATATCAAGATGTTTGAAACGAGAAAAGGATTCGAACAAAATAATTTTCTTTGAACGCAGCTTGGACGTAACGACGAATGAGCAACATACGCGCAGATATTTTACGTAATACAACAGCCACAATAAACGCAATCGAAGAAGTTAACGCAACCGATCGAAAACTGAAGACGTAACTGTGAAATAACTACGTACGTACTCTAATAYGGTAAGGCGAGCGTTCTTACGTACAGCTTATATCATAATGTTTTATAAACAAAACTAACAACGCAGTACAGCTTATGCGGCTTTATACGCACAAACGATATCGATAAACGAGGATGTAACAGCGAAATAATAATGACTGTAAGGTGAGAACAAAGATTTTACGCACCGCAAAACAACGTTAYAAATATATAACTCGCGCTGGTCAACTTACCTAGAAGAAGCCTTAGTCCTTATAAAGRAATATACAATTAACAGAGTCGGGAGCTTTTTCTGTCTGTAGAGTAACAGTTTACATAAGAGACTGTTTACAAAGTTATGAGTTCACTGACAACGTGGTAGATGTGATAGCGGTGACACTTCCGGCTGACATGTGTAAGCCGACTCGTCAGGGTAAACAGTTTAATGGCGCTCCTGTTGTGAATTGAGACGCAAAACAGATTTTATATTCTTATGACTCTTATCGATAAAAATTCGGTGTTTCATGGGYATTATTAGCGGGTTTTATTGGGCAGATCAGTGACTCGTTGAAGAAATCAAAATTTTCTCATCAAAAATTTTTTTCATCATTATCATCATGATCATCAAAGACATCATCATCATCCTTCGTGGCCGGAACGTCAAGAACAATAGCTAGTTTCACATTGTCTGATAAATCCTTATCCAGCAGATGAAAGTCTTATTACAGAATCTATGAAGCTGAAAGATTGGATGATTTACCCACCGCAAGCACGCAAGCAAGGACACAGGGAACCCAGATTTATGGGATCACCTCTCTAATAAATACGAACTTCAATCTAGACGTTTTGCCTCGTATCCCCATAAAATYTGGATTGAATTCCTTTTATATGAGATTTAATCGATATATTAGTAGGCGATGTGCAGCGACGCMATTTTGTGAAGCAAAGCATGATGGTAGTCGAGTCCTTGTGCTTTTTATAGCCTCTAAAAATCTCCCTGACGACAGCTTTTTAAATATTTTCTTTTTGGAAACGGTAATATTTCTTTTATGTCTGCAAAGAAAAAGTTAAAACGGCGTAGATGGACTGTTTAAATGGACATAAAAAGTGTCAGAACTACAACTACCATCATGCTTTGCTGAACAAAATGGCGTCGCTGCACGCGGAAATTGAGAAAGTGGCGCGCGCCAGTGACGCAGTTGCTACATCACAAACACGTCTCTGAATCTGTGCTACTTGCGAGCAGTTGGATTGAATTCGTGAAGATACAGAAAGCGGTTCATGGAGTCCTCTAGAAAAGACCTCTGATGGACGACACACGGTAAGGACAACTTCTTGCATCGATGACAAATGCTTAAATGTTTTATCGGCAATAACAGTTTCTTTTTACGCATATCTGACCATTTTTCAAATATGGTACTAGCGTATATACTATTATTGAGGATTTTTGAAGAGAGACGGCCGGCGAACTTGAAAATATATCTTTCTTACAAACTGAAAACGCCAACTACCAACTACATGCAAACTACATGCTATTTAGAATTGCACTCAACTTTATAAAGATGGCTCGACGAATGCACCAGGCAAGAAAAGCATTTCATTTTGCGAATGATTTTCCCTGGAAGAGGACTAGGTGAGTTAAAGTYTAACTCRCCTCGGTCTTCCAGGAAAAATCWAAAACGCGACTGCAATGAATGCTGGTTAWRCAAGGTCCTTTGAATTGACGAGACACTTTAAGTGATCARTGATGGTCGTCTCACCTAATGGCTCATTTKGTACTTCGTCAATCTCATGGTGYATAACGTGACACTATTTTCTTTTCGTCGTAGCAATGAAGAATCAGGAAGCCATGCAATGTCTTRCACATCAATGATTCTTTTGTCTATTCACCWATTCACATRTATATTTTTCTCTTATAAATGTTTYATTTTTYCAGAGACGTAATTTCCAAGCGGTTCACRCCCGCCATGCTCGCTGGACCCAGTGGATTCCACGTCGAGAATCGACGCCAACAACACAGGAAAAGTGGACAGTGGATCAACGAAGCTGAAAATCGAGAGGAAAAAGCAAGCTCTTTTGACAATCCACGTAAGTTAGATTATTCCTATATTTTTGCAAGAGAGCCGGTTACGAGCGAGCGTATACGTCGGTTCCACACCTGGTTTTCCGCGGAGACCTTTATGGTATTTTCATGGTAAACTATTCAAAAAGACAAACGACCAAAGGACTGAGATGAGTTATTGGCCTTAATGTTGGTACAAAGTTAACTGACTCTACTTGAAGACACCCCGATATTGCGGAAATCCCGATATATTACGGACTGAATGCCCGTTCTAAAGAAATAGTCTCCTTCACGGTTACCTGTGCCATCTTGAAAGGAGGCCGCACCTTTTCATCGAAGCGAGACGACCGTTGAGCGTGTAATGATAGAAACCTTCTTTCACACCTACAGACAATTATTCACAGGTATCTATCATTGCATGCTCAACGGCTGTCTCGCTTCGATGTGAAGCCATGGCTACCTTTCAAGATGGCGCAAGTAAGCGTTAAGGAGACTATTAGTAGAGTTTTCTCTTGATGGGATTTTTAGTAACGTGGGCATTGAATTTTTTCAGCGTCACAAGAGTTAGACGTCTCAGTTACGAAACACCGCATCAAGAGGTTTCCGAGTAGAAGACGACGTCTTTCCGAAGTCACGAACTCAACAAACGACTCCCGACTTTCGAAGGCCCATTTTGCTATACCTCCAGCGACATCCTTATCAGAAAGTGCCCTACCAGATCAGGAGTCTGAAGAAACAGGTACCTCGAACTCTTGCTCACAAAAAGACTCGTGGTTTACAACTAGTGTTAGTCCTCCACGGACAACTTCAAATGAAGGTTCGTTTCATTCGTGTAACTCGGAGATTGACGTATCAGAAGAGGCAAGAGATACGCATGCGCARACTTTTGACACTTCGGAGAAAAGCTATGTCRTAAAGTCAATGCGAAATAAGTTTGAAAACCTTTAGACTTTACAATCTTTTTAGCTACTGACAACAAAAAATTGTGGTAAACTTGCAGTTAAATTGTTTTTGTGAAGTATTTTCCTGTAAAAGCAGTAAAACAACTTATAAAATACTAACAAATTTGACAAAACAACAACTTTATTTGCCATGTTTACAAATAAATACATAAATATATTGCGCRACAAGACGCCTTTTTCGTTTTGTGATATATGAATTATTTACTTTAGAAACATCAACTTTATTTTACATTTGTTTATGAACTGCTGGGTGGCGAATGGCGAAACATTAGAGATTCTAAGTCAAGATTTTAGACTCGGCATCCAGAAAAATCTCAGAAATGAGGACCATTAGCCACTCCTCAGTTACATACATAAATTTTGAAAAAAACATCTTTCATAATTGACATATAGACACACTGTCGAAATTTTCTCACTAGTCGAACAATCAAAATAAAAATATCAAACTCTTTATAAATTGTGGGCATTTTCAAGTATTCCAAGATTACAAAAATATTATGACATATTTTCCATAAATGTGTCTATCTGATTGTATAGAAAACTATCATTTCAATATCGCGTMTATTTTAATTGATTAATTTGCAAACGTCAACTGATTGGTTACATGAACTTGAATCATGATTGGTTAATTTGATCACGTGCTTCATCTATTCTCTGAAAGTCTGTCCAAGGACTGTTATTACGTCATCGTCTGTTTCTTCTGCCAAAGAGAAAAAAATCTCGATATTAAAATCATTTTCGCTGTTTTAGTAAACGATTGTCTTTAAACAGGCAATGACTAAAGCATAATAATTTCTTTCCTAAAATAAATTAAAAATAATTGTTTTTATTCAGCTATAACCAACTAGAATTACATACCAAAACCACAGCTATCATTTTCTTGAGTTTTAACGACGTCTTGTTCTAGTTTGAGTTTACTTTTGGCGCAATTTAGAATCGCTTCCTCGATGGTTCCTTTCGAGACGAGTTTGTAGATACGAACCTCCCTAGTAAAAGAAAAGTCGATGGGTTTCCTGTGGTTTTAATGATGTAACACAGGAATCCCAATAAGATGCCTTAAAGAAAAGTCAAGAAATACCTTGTTTGCCCTACGCGATGACAGCGATCTTCCGCTTGCTTGTCGTTATAAGGGTTGAAGTCAATGTCGTGCAAAATGACGACATTTGCTGACGTTAGGTTAATACCGAGGCCACCTGGGAACGAGTTAATYAACCGTCATGCATAGCGGTTATGACAAAGTTGAATTACATACAAAAAGTCAGAAGTACATAACCACTTCTGGTTATGTACTTCTGAAAAAGTTTTACCTGCTCTCGTCGATAACAAGAAAATGAAAATATCTTTGTCGTTATTAAACTGGTCAATCAGGTTTTGCCTGTCAAACAGGTTGATAAAGGAGATTGAGGAACAAGTCAAACCAGTTTTGTAAGAAATGGCGGCAAAAATGTAATGAATTGCAACTTACGTAATGTAATGTGACGTAACGTGCATTCCAAAGTAGCGTACTAATAAGGTAGTTACAAGACCAAGCTACTTTAACGTTTTATAATGCAATGTTACTTAGCGTAACGTAAAGTATACTTACGTTACGCAACCAAACTTAGCGTTGCGCACGTAACGTAATACTGGAAAAGGAAATAGTATTCCCCATCACGCACGATGGGGTAGCATTAYGTGTAGTAATAATGACCATTTTGTAGCGCAGTGTTACGTATGGAAGACGTCCTTAAGTAGCRTTACGCAAGGTACATTAGTAAAGTTATCGAATCCTTACCTTTCGCTGACCTTCGTACCGCCGTCAAGACGAAGGAATCGGTATCCATGGTGATTCAAAAAYACTTCAATGACGTCCATTACGAGGGTGAACTGAGAGAAAAGTAGGACTCGGTCTCCCTAGCAAACGAGTAAACAAACATGATTTAAATGCTCTACATAAGCTGAAAGTTGGTCAAAATCATAAAATTAACATCAACCCATGTTTTTTTTGGAAGACTGACAGGTCGAGAGGCCGCTTTCAAAAATGTCGCAGGTTCACGCATAAAATCGAGTTATATAGGGAGAAGAAATAAGCGAGCTTCGGAACACTATTCCTATACATTCCCGCGCATTTGACGCCATTTTCTAGAACAAATAATAAGGGGAGGTGCAGCCCATAAATTTTTTACGGCCCAAAGGTCTTTTTTACAGAGAAGTGTTTCTTTCAAACCGCACAATACAAAAATGTTTCGTACCTTTTCTTTCATAYCAGGAAGTGTTTCCTTCAAATATTCAAACTTTCCTGAATCCAAAAGGACCTCTTTTGTTAATGCAAACGATTGCAGATTCTAATTGAAAGTTGAGATAACAAATTAYTTCAGTTAGTTTTACATTTGACTAAAAACAACGGCTTTTTTGAGCRGTTTTAAATCTTCATTAAAGACATTTTTAATTTATTTTGTAAATTTTTCAGTTAATTTCTGATATTAGTTGTTTTATATTGTATTTCATATATTGTATTATTATTTTTTCTGTAAAGCATTGAAATTATATATAATGATTTAGTAATAAATTATATATACTGATTAATAMATTATTATTAATTATTATTATTATTTTTACTTACATAGTACTCGCGACACATTCGATGTAATTCGAAGTCAGACATTACAGTCATGTCTTCGTAGACCAATTCCACTTCAGAACCTCGATTGGCGATATCCTAAAATGAATAGTGACAATAGATTCTTTTTTGTAATACGGACCGCCATTTTGGACTATCTACGGGACGCCCATCGGGCAGTAGTGCATACTCTGAAACTAATTTGTCCACACCTCGCGCCATTATAACTTATAACCACAGAGAATCCACGTAAAAATAATTTATATGAAATATTAAGGTTTCTCAAGTAATAGCATAGGCCGCCCAACAATTCCTTGTCAGAAAGAAAAGAACGAATGCGCATGCTAGTTTTTGATCCCGTGAAGCACGGGATCATTAACTAATACCACATGTAATCCGCATTTTGCTAAGAGCGCGAACCCAAAACATAAAAGCGTGCGTATTCGTTCTTTTCTTTCTCTCAAGAAATAGTTGGGCGGCTTATGGTAATAGTTTGGCTGGCTTTGAGTGCTGTTCAAACTAAGCCGATCTTACCCTGCAATATTTGACAGCYATTTCGTGCAGCATCGAGTCATCAAAGTTGTTTCTCAGAAGAAGAGGATGGTTTGATGTCATGCGCAATGGCATCACAAGGTTTCTGTTTTTCCCATATAAACCACTACCTRTACAACGTTAAAATACATTCAGATACATTAGCAGTGGGTACAACGCGTCTAAATCCTTATTTATCTGATAAAATCTTTAGAGTAGATAACTTTATACAGCCTTAGACCAACGGGGCGCGATGGCCGGTTGAAAGAATGATAAAAACGGATTATTCACCGGATAATTTCTATGTTCAGTCGGTAAACATGCAAAAACCAGTACGAAGTGGAATAATTTTATCTGTTGGTAACGAATCTAGATCTAGTTTTTTTAGCTAGGCATCGTTGGAAAGAATATAATACTTGGAGTCGTTCGCGCGGGATTCCTGTGCTATTCGGGATTCCTGTTGTATTTCCTGAAGGCCAGGCTGCAAAGAAATCTCTACAATTTCTGGAAGTTTTAAAAGAAGAACGATTTCGAGCTTTAAAATTTCCAAAAAGACCGCCGAAAGAGGTGATTTTTAGATCCAAATAAGGTAGGATTTACCCAATAAGGATAACAAACCGTCCGAGCGAACGACAGTTTTTCTATCAAACACCTACTTTTCTGTTTCTTGAATTCTTGTCGGCATTCGTTGAACACTTTGTCGTAGAGAGACCGCTGTTTTGCGGTCAAATCGACCATAACGATATTCTCTGTCTTTTCAGGCAGTTGGCTAAGCACCTAAAGTAACACGTTCAATATAAATCGACACAATGCAAACAGTGTTTTGATTGAATATTGTAGCTTTTCTCAGTCGCACGCCTACCCATCTATATCGATCGAAGAGGAACATGGCCGGAAATCTTTCAACGATCGAGAATTGTCAAAACGACGAACATTGGATTCCCAAAAACATTCATAAGCTAAACTTGTTTGTTGCGCAAAGCGTGAAAAAGGACAAATATAAAGTTGTTTTCAGTTTCCATTTATAGTACAAGCCAATTGACGAAGAGCATCTTCGGTCCGTAAGGACGAAGGGCAACGTTTATTTGAAAAGACTTTATGTTCAACTCGCATTCCCTATTACGAGCTTTTCTTGAAACCGACGATGGAAACAAATGTGAATGGATATTTTAAGTCACCTTATTTTCCATAAAAGAAAAATCTAAAACACGACCGCATTGAATGCCGGGTGATGATACCCCTTTAAGCAATAACAACATTTATCTAAATGGGCTTTGAAATGTTTATCCTTTGAAGTATTTATCGGTTTATTATGCATGTATTTAAGACTAACTTTCGTATGTACATACGTCTGTTTTCAGTCGCCTCAGAACGAAAGGTTTTAAGATGCTACTCGCTTGTTGCAGCCTCTCTTCGTGGTAGCTTCGCACACTAGAGCTCTCTTTCTAGAAAAGACGATAAAATGCTACATTTAAGTTCTGTACATAGCAACAGCAATCTGCTGCCCTGCGCAGTGGAATTCAGTCAACTCACCGATTTTTTATTAGAAAACAGCATGTTTAAACCTTCAGAGATCTCTAGAGTGCCAAACATGTTGGGCATGACAAAGCAAAGAAGTGACATCAACTCCATTAAGTCGTTCTGCAGTGGAGTCCCGGTGAGGAGTAAACGGCGCTTAGCCTAAATAAACAGATGCAGCTATTTATAGAAATGATGTCATAAGAAATGATGTAGAACTGACCGAAAGGTACTGTGGGAATGGTGAAGAACTTCGTCTACAATCTTGGACTAAACGTTGCAGTTGAGTATTCTTGAAAAATCGAAWAATATTGCACAGAATTATATATTTGCTTGCCTCCCTGCAACCCTCCTACCCTTCTGGGGGAGGGTAGTTTGAACTCGGCTCCAAAGAGCACATATAGAATCCCAACCAACCACAATACGGCGCGCGCTCCTTTACATACGTTTAAATGCGTCAAGCATACAATAGATTATAGATTGATAGTACGGAATAGTACCTGCGAGGTACTTAGTTAAAGGTATTTCTGTCCAAACTGAAAGGACGGAAGACGATTCGCGCTCACTTTAAGAAATCCTACGAATCCACCATGTTTGTGTCTAGCTGAAATGGTGCTTCGGCTCGCAAGGTACAGCGGTTGGTTGTGATTCTTTATCGGAACCATTTTGTCCAAGATTGCAGTTTTGGTATCATGGTTAACTTTACTTTATCGAGAAAATGTGAGCGGGAGACCTTTATGGGCATTTAAAACTGTGAGCTGCAAGCGAGCAGTTTTATAGCCCATAAAGGTTGGACGCGAATATTTTGTATTGCTTATCAAATTCCAACATAAGGTAAAGCATATTTCAAAAAAAACCTCAGGATAAAATATCATTTGTAAGAGAAAATCGAAGTTAAAGTCGTATGCAAATCAGGACAAATCTCTTGCTCATATAAAGATGCGGTCACGGCAATGATTTTCCATTGTGTTTACCTTATGAATTATTAATGAATTTGATAATATTCCTTAATATAATACTATATGGATATTTCAGCTATCGTCGCACGATACGTACATTGATGTTAAAGAGCTTTTGGTATCTTTGTGACTGCATGTTCTTCAGCATGTGGCCCTCGTCGAAGACAACGTAATGGATGTTGAGTTTACGGAATAAACTTCGATCTTGGTAAGTGCTAATTGCTGTTTGATAACTGAAAAAATATGGAGTGGAATGCGAATGGAATCGAATAAAATGGAATGGAATGGGATCAAACAGAATGGCCTAAATCGAATGGAAACGTGTGGAATCGAATGAAAAAGAATAAAATGGAATGGAACTGAATGGAATCGAATGGGATTGGATGAAATAKAATAGAATAAAATGGGATGGGATCRAATAGAATGGAATKAAAWKAAAAWWRRAATGSAATG